GTGCATGCTTTAATAATATCACGTCTATCCAATTTCCGCATTCTTAACTACCGTTCTAAAAATACCCAATCATATCTTTGCTAATACTTTACGTACGTACTTATGTGGGAGCGTTGAGTCCCACCTCTTTGTTACTAACTTGCCATGGCTATGTGGACGCTATGTCGATGGTTCTCAACACTCGATTTAACTTCCAGTATGTGGTGAAAATAGTTCCCTATAAGGTAACAATAACTTTTTTAGCGCAGACTTGTGACTTTTCACGAGTTCAGTTACACGTCAATCAAATGTCCTGTGGTATTACTTTCAAAGTTATTTGAATAACTTAATCTTGAAGAATTGCTGCTCATTCTGAGTTATATCTTGGTAGATTTCAATTAACATCAACTTTATTAATCTGTATTTGTATGTTTTTGAACCTTCTTGGAATGTACATTGTTTACAGTGATGATTTGTAAAACCATATTTAAGATCTGTTCTCGTTTCATATTTAAATTAAAATATTTTAATTAAGGTAAGAACAAAGGGAACTATATGTACTTACATACATGTATCTATCTGAAATGTACATAACTAATTTTTGAACTGTCTCAAATTCATGCTGCTGTCTTTGTTTCTGGTTTCTGTTTTTGATGTGATCATGATGTCATCAGTAATTTTGGTGTATTGCAAATAATTTATTTTTAGTCCTTTCAAGTTAAAAACAAGGAGAAAATTCACCTCTGTAAATGCTATTTTTGCAGTTTTGTTACGCCTATCAAAATTAAATTGCATTTACACATAAAATACTGTATACTTTTTAATGTTGTGCTAGGAATTAATTATGATTTGATAAGTTAAAGAAATTTGTCAAGACAAAATTCCGTGAAAGTCGATGTAACTCTTGTCATAAGAAGACCATTAGAATTTTCACGGCCGCAAAATTTCACGATTCTTACTGAATTTATGTTGATCTGTCTCTTCATGAATTAAAAAGGTTTAAAATATTTCACAATAATTTGATTAATTAATTAATTAATTAATTACCGTAATAAATAAATATTTATTGATAATTAATTTTACCCCTAAATATGTCTATTTTATTTTTTCTTTCCTCTCTCTTCTTGCATACTCTCTTTATGTTGTTTTCATTCTACTTCCGACTGCGTTACATGTAAATATTGACAAAGCTCTTATCAAGATTTTACGATTTCCGACAACGATAAACTGCATGTTAAAGATTATGACATGAAATCTATTTCTGTAGCCGTGATAGGGCAAGATGATTATAAGGGGCTGTCCACTGAATTATTTCAAATAAACCCAGGTTTTTCATCAAATCTACTAATTTTAGTTTAATCATTATGTGTATTATTTCTACCCATCCCTGAAAATTACATGATCTGTCCCTCTATATCAATGTTTGAATTGGTTCCCGGATGTCCTTTTACTGGGGGGTCAAATGTTCAACAATCTTTATACCAAAATATTCAGAATTTGAATAATAAATTTTTAAAACAATTGAAGCAAATCTTTCCAGACTAATATATTCTATCTGAGACAAAATTCTGCTTCGCCGTATATGCAGTAAATCCTTCAATATTTCACTTTTCACAGCTATTTACAATCATATTTCTGTCCCTACATTTTATGAATCCCCTTAATCAGAGCCCCAAGTTGAGAAGTTGATTGGAACAACATGTGCTTTATAGATAGGAATACTATGTCAACAAGTGGTATAAAGTAACACTACATAATTTGTGATTAAACCTAAATTTAGCTGGTGTCTGCGATACTTAATGCAACTATTTAAATCAATTTTTCACTCAAGTTCATTCAAAGGTGATAATCCTGATTTGCTATTTATTTATTTAGTATCCCAATGTTCTCTATTTATATACTCAATGTCAATGGCAGATTTTATAATTTTATGCCTTTTTATCATTTTATGCCTATTTGGTGACCTTTGACCCATAAAATCATGGGAACGTTGACATGGCTTATATATAACCCATACAATTTCTTCATTATTCTTTCATACATGCTACCAACACCGGAAAGTGACAGTTTATTTATCAATTTGATCCAATTTTTTAGTTAGCGCAAATTTTTACACAAACTGTAATTCTGCTGCATGCTTCATTTTTTGCGCATTCAGTTAAAAATAAATAGAGATAAATAATTTACTTCCCAACTCATTAGTAAATTGTGTACAGAAACATAAATTCATTTCTGGGTGATTAAAATCTGTGGTATTTCTGTGAATTTGTTTATTGTTAATTTTTTACATGATTCAAAAGCTTTCAAGTTAAAGGCCCATTTCAAATTAAAGGCTCATTTCAGTTAAATGCCTATTTAAATTTAATGGCTCATTTCAAGTTAAAGGCCCATTATGATGTTGAAGTATACTAACTCAAGCAAAATCGATCATCGTCAAATGTGTACAGTATGGAAATACCGAAATACTTTTCCGTTTGTTAAATCCTGTGCGATATTTTACACCACTACAACATTGTGACTGTTGTTTGTCCTGTTTTTACGTTCCATTTTACACATAACACTGAATCTCGTAGTGAACAGAAAATGGTTTGAGATATTTGACATGCAGTAGTATATGGTTTATATTAAAACTGTTACTTGAATGACATTACACAGTAGATCAACACGATGCATAATATGTTAGTTTAAGGTCAACTATTTATGATAGATAATAATCCCGTTTGAGACAGAAAATAACAAGTAAAATGATTAGGGTTTAATTTTATAAAAAGTAACAAGTCGTTTTTGTACAAAAATAGTGAGCAAAACATATAAGTTGCTTTTTTAAGGTTTCTAATTTGTCTGAATATTTTTTGTCAATTTTGTATCAAATAACTATTTCTGATGCCTTTTTGAAAACTACTAGTTGCAATGTTATGCACACTATCAGCAGACAGGCTGCAAGGCTTGTTTAAAAACACATTTATATTTAACTAGCGATGTCTGGATCCCACAAAGCACTAGATTAACTTCAATGGGTGTAATCGTAAGATGGGAGCGTCCTCCCTTGACCCATTAACACAAAACACAATACAATCTGAATTCAAGGTTGGTTGTACTATTTTAATTCTATCTCACAATTGTAGGTGTAAGGTATACATATTTACTCTGACTGTAAGGATGGGTCAGTCTTTATACTGCAGAGAGTCTCTAACATTCACAGGAATTTTTATCTTTTACATTGTAATTACCCTGTGTGTGTGAGAGAGAGTGAGTGAGTGAGTAAGTTCTATTGTTAATTTTTGTGCACACTAAAAGTTTTTTTTGTGATGTTAGAAAGATGATTAACGCACTGCACTAAAACTCTCACTTGACAGGCACTGGCTGGTTAATACAGTTTATAATATATCCACAGAATCGGATACCAATCTTGGATAGTATAATTTATATTATAATTTATCAGGGAGTCTAGTAATCACATTGTTAGTAGTACAAGCTTGTCGATAGGTTGACCGTTGTTTACCAATGTACTCCTGCAATGTCTATCTTTGATAAGTCTGCATTAAATCCCTTTAACAATTGTAGTTCTTGTTTTCTACTTTTAAGCACCACTCCTACCACTCCCTGGACCTAAAAATAGACGTGATACATGTATATCACATATGGCTATCAATTGTGTAATAGACTTCAATCATACATGAATTACCAGGCTAGGGGAACTGTGTTCTCTGAAATCATAAAATTTTATTGCATATACATGTATATCGTTTTGACTTTTCATTTGATTTTTTGTTTAAATGTTATTTGTTTCAATGTGTGTGGAAGCATGAATCTGGGAACTTTCTAAAATACATAAAAGTAAGAATGAATGAGTATACTAATACATGGTGTGGTGAAAGTAAAAGTTTGTCTGAGTTTGTCATATGAATGTGAGCTCGGTAACTGACAAAAATTGATACAACACAAAATGCTTGTATAATACAGATTGTCATTACATGTGTCCAATATTAAGATGCATTGTGATGAACACAATACTTTTAAAAGTATAAGTACCCACGGTTTGCAGTGCTGCATTACACAATGGAATATTCTGTGCTGTTCTCTGAAATATTTTTAAACAAATAATTAATTATCAGTATGATTATATTTTTGAGAAAAAAATACTTGTTTGATTGGGCCTAGTTATGCCAGTATAGCGCATTAAATTACCATTTGATAGAAAGATGACTACACTTCTGTGGCAAAAATGCACTATGTGACAGCACTTGCATGTTCAATTTGCATATAAAAAAAAAACAGATCAGGAGAGACAGCAGTGACATTCAATGTCGAGAACTGTCGCCTGGCACAAAAACATTCAAAAAAAAAGTTGAAAATATATTACCGCCCCCCCCCCCCCTTCCTCTCCCAATAGTATTTCCATTAACTGGAAAACGAGAATTTAAAGATATCACAAAATATACACATCTGTTAGAGGTCCAACTAAGGGAGCGATAAATCAGATATAAAAGCAATCACTCTTGCGGTTTTCAAGATAAAGACAACAATAACCATTTTCCCCACTCATGAATAGTAGTGGATAATTTGGTAATGTCTCATTTCACCTGGACAGGAAACGTATCCACCACCAATGCCAAAAGGTCATGTATTGAACTTTTAACAGGCAGAGTGAAAGGAAGTGTGTCATTCTAAAAACATGATAACGCCTCAATCTGCTTACATATCACACTATCTTATCCCCATTTCATTTTTCTGGAATTGCAAGTCAAAGTAAGACTTCAATTGTATGTGCACAAGGTGTAGTTATAAGTTGACACAAACCCAATTCAACATTGGATGGTAGGGAGCGCTATTGTTGTTGCCAGGAAACCATTTGGCTTTCAATTTCACATCTCATTTCTTCTACCTCGTACAGTCAGCTAGCAAAACTATGAAAATCTGCATTTTGTCAGACATACATATAAATAATCATATTTTCATTTTAGAACACTGGCAGAAATTAACAATTTGATTCTGACTTCTCTTTTCTTTTTTTCTTTCAGCCTCAGGATATTATAGATTCTCAATGTCACACGTTTAGAATCAAATCTTACAGACATCCCAGAAACTGTGATCTATGTAAACAGATTATATGGAGCGACGCTGTACAATGTAGAGGTAAGCAATAACAAACAAATATCTGTAAAATTGAAAGTGAATAATCTAGGAGTAGTATTGCAAGAACACTGCCAAGTCTGTGTGCAAATACATTACTTGTTACGTATAATGTTAACTTATAATTGAGGTCAAAGTGACCATGATACTTTTAGTGCAAACTTTGTATTATCGTAAAAGTTTATATTTGTGCATCTCCCAATCTTGATTTTACTGATTTTTCAGGGTATAAAGAATTTTTGAAATGTTTTGCAGCATGATACAAATTACAATGAAATACATTTTTATGGATGATCATTTTTTGTTGTCTCTGTATTGAATGTATAAATATTAATATTATTCTCTCTATAGTAACCCCCACAGCACCCATAGTTTTCATTGTGAAGGGATAATTTACACATTTGATTCCCTTTGTAGGAAATTAAGATCAGTAATAATATTGATTTTTCCCTATGTCATCATTTGATCAAAATTAATTGGGTAGTCATTTACAGCATTGCCTATAGAGGGCGCTGTATTTCAATGAGGTGACCCCATTCTCTTAAAAGAACGTACACAAGTTTTGGCAGTGCTCTATCTTCTCCAGGTTTAGTAACTTATGTTGTCAGCAATTATATTGTGATATTATATGGTATATTTTGATTAACTGCTACTTGTATGTTTTTTTTGTATTACAGTGTGTAAATATGCCTGCCACAAGAAGTGTGAATCCAAGGTGAGTGAACTTTTATGTAACTCTACTTCACCGTAGTGACAGCCAGTGAAATTAATGCCAGTCCATATGCCCTAGATTGGTAACTTTCCAGTTGGGCTGATACAAATTAAAACTTGCATCCCCTGTGGTCTAGTATCAGTTCGTGCATGGTCTGCTTCGATATAAATTTGTAAAATGCAATTTTATTAATTAATATTATTTCATGATAAAGTTGGACATCATTCTTTTCTGATAGCTGGTATAAAGATAGTGCAACAAAAAATGAAATTTGTTTTGTGTTTCAGCAGAATGTTGAGTTTTTCTGGGGCTTAGTAAGACGTAGTATTGTAAAATAAACTTTAATGCAGGGTGACTTTCTGGCAGGACTGGTATAATTTGAAAGTTCCCTGGTGTCTGATAAACAATTTTGACTGTCATAACTACATGTGAACATAGTCTAAATGATTTATTTGTGGTTCAGAATAACCAGATTGTCGGTGCTGATTGTATTACTGGTATAACCCCTTGTACATATCTTTGTGGTTTGTGGTAGGGAATATGAACACATTGACAGCTTGTGTAATATACGACTTATACATTTCAGAATGTCTGTGTCATCATTTGCAGCAGATATTGCCATTTTCGACCTTTTATCTTGAAAGAATGGTTTTCAAGCGGACATTGACGTTTTGGGTTGATTTAATTCCAAACTCAAAATGTGTCACTCTCCAATCCTGTTATCAAATTTACAATTCTGTAAATGAACAACAATAGAATTGTTTTGAACGACTGTTGGGTCTCGTTTTCAACCAAATCGTCAACTTCAGAAAATTGCTTAATATAAAGTATTATTACCCCGGTACCCTGAAATGCAGTGAATAAATTGCATAAAAAAAAGGCTTATTTATTGAAAGGACTTAAAATTGTTCTCAGGATAATGAAACACATCAAAGAGTTTTATGTAGTCGCTTTATGTTTGTCACAAAATACATAAATCAGGCTTTTTAATTGGTAGATGTAAAATCAGAACTAGTGTGAATTGGAGTGGCTTAGTCAGCAGGTGACTTCAACATGGTTTTTACGATTACATGGTTTCCCACAAAACTTTTATGGACTATTGCATAACTCAGCTTGAGAAAAATTTGTTATGACTAGGTTTTAGTGTCCTGCATATTAATTTCCACCTTCTGATTGTCCATTTCCCGACTATTGAGGGCGGTGTTTCAGTGTTGATATCAGTCAATTTTTTTTCCTCCATGGATCATTTCTCCTAAGGAATTTTTTCGTTTGTTAGTAGATGAGTTGTGTTTTTCCAGTCATGCATCGGGAAATAAGAAAAACAAACCAAGTTAGAAAATACAACAACTAGTTATTAACAAGTGTCAGATGTGTTCATAAAAAAAGTTTAAATTGCTTTAGGAATGCAAGTGTTTAACACAGTGTTTTGAACCAGACACTGGTAGGTTAATATAGTTAATAATTTAATATGTGAATCTGATTTAAATGGTTAATACAGGTTGTGTTCAATATAGGTTCCATATGTGGAGATAATGAATTTTTCTTAAATATGAACATATGCCATCAACTTAAGATTTGACAAAAAAAATTTCATTTAAAGAAATGTGACTCTACACTCTATATACATGTACTATGTACTATATACTATATATATATATATATATTTGGTGTTTTACAAAATATATTAAACTGTTGTTATGCTATTTTATGCCTTGGAGAATGTGGGTGAATAGGATCTTGGTTTGTAATCAATTACCGTAGGTTGTTTTCTTAATTGACCCCCTAGATTGAATCTTCCCATCACCTAATTAATTACTGTACATATGTGCCTGTATTATGTAATGTAATCATACATGTATGTACTAGTAGCAGGTTCCCCTAAGGCATTATGATAGTTCATGCATTACTGATTGACCCCCCCCCCCCCCCCAGGTTATAGGGCATATGGAAATATGCAATACAACTACATGTACATGTATGCATGTAGTAAAGAAAGATGTGTTCTGGATTCTTTACATTTTGGTGTTAGTATATTGTGGGAAACATTTTTTTAATTTTGATACAGAGCAACTGGAGAGTGAGCGAGTGAATGACTGTCTTTGGGAGTTACTGTGAAAGGCAGTGATTGACTGACTGACAGATTGATAGAGTTGCTGTGATTCTCTGGAAGGTTGTGAGTGAGTGGGTGGGTGAGTGAGTGAGTGAGTTAGTGACTGAGTTAGTGACTGACTGACTGACTGACTGACTGAGTTAATGTGCGAGTGACTGAGGAAGGCAGTGAGGGAGGGAGGGAGTGGCTATAAACTAACTTTTAACTAACTCACTGACTGAATGACATTATTTCCTACTGGAGGACATTACAGGATGTTCTTGATTCTGGAATTTCCAAGTTATGTTGAAAAAATGTGTTCATTTCAATTAGTTTGTCATTGAACCAATTTATTTCAAATTAATTAGTATGTTGTACAGCCATTGGGGCTCCATTCAAGAATGATGACCTCCTGTTGGATTGTACCAATTACAGTTATTTGCAGAATTCATTATTAGGTCGTCTTCGTAAACTATGCTGAACTTGACAGAGTTTTCTAGTTGCTGCAATTTAATTAATGTTCTGGTATTAAGGTCAGAACTCAGCTGGACATGTGAAACATAATTATCTGTTCACAATTTCCATGCATGATCACCTGCACTTCCTTTTACGCTGAGTGACCTGACCACAGAGTGTCAGTTCTATGCACTTAGAACATATGGACACGTCATTCCATCTGGTTTGAGACAAGCTGCAATATCTTCTCGATCATCAGATGTTATTTAAACTGCAGGAATTTTCAAAATATCCTAAACATTTTTTTTTTCATTCAAAGGGCCTGAGGCTTTAATCTGCTCAGTAAATAAATACAATCAAATTTGTTGTTTGAAAATCTTGCTATAAGATGAAAACTGTTTGTTTGTTTGTTTGTCTTCTCCACATGCTCTTACAGTGTTGGAACTTTCTCTCAGAAAGTACTAGAAACATTATCAATGAATTAATCATCAGTCTAGTACTACTTTATTTTTAACAGAAAAAAAAAACTCTGCTTCTGCACGTAATGTTGGCTTTAGAATTTGCATGCTACTTTTGTTGGTGATTTAATTATTTTCCCAGTGATTGACCTGTGTTATTCAAAAATCCATGTTTTGAATTACATGTACGTGACAGGGCTGTGTGACCATCTTCATGTCATAAAGACATTATGGAAAGTTTAATGCACTATCCTGGGGTCAGGCAGGTCCAGTCGAATACAAGCACATTTGTACCTTTACCAATTAAAGTGCATCTGTTTGTCAATGAATATCTGCCTTCATTGACAAACCATTGGGTCTGTGCTATATTCACCCAGAGTAGCGGTCATCTGTTCCTTAATGGTGTTCAGCCCCAGGTAGGATTAGATCTTGAGTGTCCCAATCATGGGTTCTGTGTGTAGCTAGTATTGTACATTTTGTATCAGTTTTATTTTGTGAGAGACATTTCTTGTGTATATGATTTCATAGTAAGTCAACTCAAATCAAACTTTTGAATCCACAAACCTTGTTTTTATGCTAAAGTCATTGAAAGCTAGTTTACATTTTTTATGAGCACCACACCACCTATTGTAAATTAACAGCCAATATGTCGTATATTGGCGATTTCTGTAGAAAATATCATGCATTGGTGTCTCACCTGATGTTTATTTCCTTAATTTTACGATATTATTATAAGAATACATGTTGGTGAATTTCAAATAAATTATTGAAATGCACTTTATATAAATACTGTTTTTACTTATACATACAATTTAAAAAAAATTTGGTTAAGACCTGTAAGCAGTAAATGGTACATTTGGTAAATAATTATCAAAGAAATCATAAAAAATACTTTGATTTCAATTTGGTTATAACCTGGATTGATTCCAGATTTCAGCTATCCGGTGTCATTTCCGTTTGTGAAGTGATTATAGAATGAAGGATTGCTTCCTGGGACGAAACAGAATATTTTAATGTTTACAGAATGATACGATTCTGATTGATAACCTGTATGCTGCTTTTAAATTAGTTGGCTTTACAGTTTATACTGTAGGTCATAGTGTCACCACACATCAGAAAATTTCAAATCTTTCTGAATATTTGACATTTCAGAATGAATATTGCATCATGGGATATTGTGTACAAACAAACTGTTTTACACGTGTTGTATACTGTAAAGTAATTTAATTTTGTAAGACAATTGTAAGTTTTGTGAAGACATTTCAAAATCTTTACAGAAAGTTTGACATATCAGTATTAAACTAACACTAGGGAATGCAGATTTTACAAATGGGGGAGGGTGTTCACATTCATTGCAGATAAAAATAATTTTCAAGACTCCATAGCCAATGAGAAATTAAGTAAATTTGGTCCAAAATAATAATAATAAAAAAAAAAAAAAAAAAAAAATCAGTACCGATATATACATAATGTTGCACAAAAAATTCTGGCGGTAAATATCAGTGATGAATACCATACCCAAGGTAAAACAGACACTGTTATTTGCATAGTCAGTGTTAATTAAAATGAAAGTATCAATTTCAATAAATACTATTGCAAACAGGATTACTTGACTTAAAATTGATCATATACTGTAAAATGTCAAATTTTAGAGAAAATAATGAAATTTTGTATCAGTGAGAATTTCTCTTGGGTACTATGACTTTTGTGAAATGTCCTCACAAACGTCATCCAATCTTGAAAATTGACACATGGAACTTTCAGTATTATAAACTCAAATTCCAAAAGTATGATCGCTTCCTTATAATGTAGAAAATGATGTGTCCCTTTATGGAGCCGGTAACATTTTCACGGTAACATGTCAGGTAAAAATA